CCCGCCCCGCCCCGTGCCCGCGGCCCTCCGCCCGTCCACGCGGGCCGGCGGCCATGTTGGTACAGGGCGCTGGGCCTGCCATCTTAGTAAAGGGGCGGTTTCTCTTTCGCTATCTTCGCTCATTCATTCCGCAAATGTTGACGGAGCGCCTTTTACGTGCCCAGGACCCGGCTGGAAGTCAGCGGCGCGCAGCCTCTGCCCTCGTGGAGCTTACATCCATTCAGTCCATACTCATTTGAGCCCTCTGTGGCCCAGGCGCCACTGCGGGTACTGGGACTAGTACAGTAAACGAGATTGCTGTAGTCCTTGCCCCTGGAGGAGGCAGATAAGCAGCAAGTAGAGAGCAAGTGAATAAGTTAATTGTAAGAAGTGAGGAGTGCTAATAGTGTTATGAACGCAACGAATACGCGGGGCCCGAGATAGAAAATGGAACAGAGGAATGGAAAGGTAAACTGAAGCCCAAAGAATAATGTCAGTAGTGGGAAGCATGATCAAAGTCGAAGGAACGGCAACTGCAGAGGTTCTGAGAGGGTAAAGATATGATGGGTTCCTGTTCCTATCTTCCAACCCACTTCACTTGTGAAAATGCTGATTTTACGAAACAGAATCATGAAACATTCCCAAGCAGTAGAAGTGTTGCTAGGGCGTGCTTACTGCACAGACTGGAGCAAATCTGTATTAATGGCTTCCAAACTCCATCATGAACCAAAATCACCTGGAGGGCATCCTGTTAAGACACTAATTACCAATCCCCACTCCCAGAGCTTCTAATCAGTAGACCAGGAGTAGCACGTAATAATTTACATTTCTGACAAGTTCCCAGGTGATGCTAATGCTGCAGGTCCAGGGGTCACACTTGAGAACTGCTGATATAACCACAGAAAACAACAGCTTCCATTTATTCCTTCATCAAATATTTATTGTTGCCCACTAAGTGACAACCACTGTTCCGAGGACTCAGTGCTGAGCAAAACTTGGGCCCTTATCAATACAGAAAGAAATTATCTTTAAAATGTTACAAAATAAGTAATCAATTATCATTGTTATAAGGGCATTAAAGAAAAATACAAACCACTTGAGAGTGAATAGCCAAGGAAGCTAAGGTAATCTCGGAGGTTGGAATGGAGAGGAGGTCAGGAAGTGACATTTATTTAGCTGTAGCCTGAAAGACTTACCGTAGTTTGCTGGTCAAAGAGAGGGGGCATAGAATCACCTAGACAGTATAAACTGCATGTACAAAGGAGCTGTTTCGGAAGGTAAATGTATTGAGGCCAAGTGACTTGTCCTTTCTTAGCTCAATTTAGTGAGATGAGCAAAGGCTTTGGGATGAGAGAAATTTGAAGTGGAAAATCCAGCTCTTACCAGTAGCTGAGGTATATTGAGCAAGGGACTGTCAAAATCTTAATTTCCTCACTGTGTAATGGAATGAAATAACAGAAAGTCACCTCACCCTCAATAAGAGGCAAGCTTTGGCTCACATAACTCCCAGAACTGAACAACTAGAAATAGGTCAGCTTCAGGCTGGGAGTGATGGGAGCCCAGAATCTGTTCCTCTAGGATTTTCTTGGCTCTATGATCCTCTGTGTATCAGCCTAGTCCTCAAAATGGCTGCCAGGACCAGCCACAGCTGCAAAATTCCCTGTTGACATCCAGCAAGAGAGAGCACTTTTTCTCATGTCCTATCTTATGGCAATAAGCTTTATCCTACTGGTCCTAATTGACCCAGGCCTGCCCATCCCTGAACTTGCCATGTGAAGGAAGGTGGAATTGCTATGATCGACGGAAAGAATCCTGCCCTGGGGTGGATATCAATTCCTCAGGATAAAGGGGATTTGTCGGAGTCACCACATATCCACCATACCTCTATTGCCAGGCTAAAGTGAAGATTAAATTTAATGTACACAAAACATCTAGCACATAAGACATGCAATAAATCATAGCTATTATTAATTTTACTCCAGGGATTTTGTCCAAGTCAACTAAATAACATTTTGTTATTAATATTAATCTCAAGCCTGCCTATTCCAAAAAAAAGATTTAAGGCTGCTATTACTTTTTGTTGGCACTGCAGGGATGGCCCCCATCCATCTCCTTCTGCTCATTCCTCTTGCTATTGCCTTGGTCTCATTCATTCAGTTATTTGTTCAACAAATATTCAGGGAGTTAGTATCAACTTTGTACAAGACCTTTTGCAAAACCTGAGTTCCAAAATGAATAAAATTCAGGCAAATTTCACTGCCTCATGGTGGAAACAGCCACACAAACAATGACAGCATGGTGTGAGAGGTGCTATACTAGAGGTGTGTACAAACTGAAGCACACAAAGAGGTATGGGTGGGGGAACAACTAGCTATGGCAGGGGGAGTAATTGGAAGACTGAACAACGATGGTAACATTTCCGTTGGGCCTTGCCGGATAAATAGAAGTTCACCCAACTACTACCGAGTCCCCACTCCTCTTTCCACTCCAAGCTATCTCCTATTGTGTCAAGTCTCTTTACACTGCAAGTGACAAAGTTGGGTCTATAGAGTTGGGACTCTATCATAAGAAGAAAAGGGACTATATTGTCTCATGTGAGAGAATCATCCAAAGGGTTGCATGGATTTCAGACATGGATGGATTCTGGGTCTGAAATGATATCACAGAACTCAATTTCTCTCCATTTCTTGGTTCTGCTTCCTTGATTGGGGACCCCCACGGTGAGCCCTGCATACCCAGGGGTTATCTTCTATCAGGTTGAAGCCTGTTTGAGAAGACTGTGTTTCTCCTACAAATGTTCCAAGAAAATAATCCCATTGGCTCTCACTGGATTACTCCTGAACCAATCACTGCAACCAGGGAGAATATGATGCTCTGATTGGTAGACCTTGGTCCCATGCTCCACCCCAAGCTCCAGAATAGCTCTTTTCAATGGCCAAGATCTCTTTGAGCCCCACTATTCTACCAGGCTGTCAGCAACTTGGAGAATTCTCCTGTTTTGCAGATGAGGAAACATGTTAGTTTCTCAAAAGGCATAGGAGTTAACAGCAGCATTCAATATGGATTTAATGAAAGAAGGAAGAATAGGGTGACTGGCACCCTCTATAGGTGACAAGAACACACTCAGTTTAACCTGTCATTCAAGGCCTTTGAAGTCTTTGAAGCTCTGTAACCAGACTCTCTGGTTTTGAGTCTTTACTCTGTCTCTTACATAGCTGTGTAGCCTTGACCAAGTCACTTAAACTCTCTGTACCTCAGTTTCTTCATCCATAAAATGGGGACAACACAAGGACGTATCTGGCCAGGTAGATACCTGTATCAGTCAGTTTCTATGAGGAAACTCTAATTCAGATTTGAAGAACTGACAAGGAGGCTATTCTAAAAGAGGTGTAAGGAAACCCTACAAAGGCTACTACCGTACCCCAGATCTAGTAACAGCAAGACTACTAGTACCCCTAGTCCTAAAGGGACAAGAGGAAGAATGGTTGCCAGAATCTGGCAAAGAAGAATCGTGTGAAAGAGTAGCTGAAGGAAGCATCCAGCCAAGGTGATCCTGCAGGGAGGAAGCCAGTAGAATAAATACACTGACCTCACTCACCTCCCTCCCTCTCTCTCCTGCTGGGGTTCCCCCATTGCATAAATCCAACTAGGAGCCAGAGACCAATGGAGACTGGTGATGTAGTTCATAGAGGCCAACTTCCTGGGCACACGGCTAGGCAGAGAAGGGGAAATGGAAGAGTCCAGCAGAACACTAGTAAGTGTTTAGAACCATGCCTGGTGTATTAAAAGATTCTCAATCATTTTAGTGATGAATTACTATTTCCAGCCTACTTCCATCCAGCTCTCCTTTCAAACTCCTCTTCCTTTACAAATCCACCTCGCTAGAATCTTCATGGCTCCTAGAAAATAGCAGGCTCCTTCATGTCTCTGAGCCTGTGCTTAGGTTGTTCCACCTTTTGGAATGACCTTTCCCTCATCCTTTCCCCTTCCTTTAAAACTTCTATTCGTCCCAAAGACCAGACTCAGATGTCTCCCATGAGTGTCCTCCTCTTGTGGAATAAAGGGCAGTTAATAAACATTCATTAATATGATAATGGAGAGATATTACCTGAAGACTTACCTAGTTGTAACATCCACCAGAAATATCCAACAGGAATTATCCATGGATACAGCATCTTGGGGGAGAGATCTCTAGTGTCCAGATATACCTGCCTTTGCTGTCTTCCAGCTACAGGGGAGGATTACACTTCCTTATTCCTTGCAGTTCGGTAGGATGATGCCGACTGAGTGGAAGTGACCCGTGTCACTTCTGGGCCAGAGCATTTCCCTGCCTGTGCAAGTCCCTTCCATTCTGCTCTCCCCTGCCATAGTGAACTCTGAGGCACCCTGTTGAAACTGTGGCACCATAAAATGGAGTGATGACATGGGACAGAACCCCTTCCTGATCCACACCAGACCAGCAGAACAAGCACAAATAAACTTCTGTGTTTTGAGACACTGAGGTTTGGGGGTGGTTTGTTACTGCAGCATAACCTGG